AGCGCCCTGGCCCTGCCCTGTGTCTGCCCCAGCCCGGCTCGCCCGCCGGTGGGTGGGCACCATCTCTGCCCCATTCGCTGCGGGAGGCCGAGAGCGCCCTGGCCCTGCCCTGTGTCTGCCCCAGCCCGGCTCGCCCGCCGGTGGGTGGGCACCATCTCTGCCCCATTCGCTGCGGGAGGCCGAGAGCGCCCTGGCCCTGCCCTGTGTCTGCTTGTGGCGCTGATTGGCTTTCCCAGCCGTTTGCCTCTGCTGTGTGATCTGGCAGGGCCCGGAGGTCAGCCGTTCCCCGGCAGGGATGAGACACACACACGGAACAGCTCCAAGCTGATGTGCAAAGCCGTACCAATCAGATACGCAGCACACACAGCTCGTACCACACACATGCAGACAAAGCCCAGGGCTCAGCTTTTCCGCCGAAAACTCGCTCATCCACCCCCACAAGCCTGCGGTGCCGGGAGCGCCTGCTCCTCGCTTATCTTGCGCTGCTCGAGATTTCAGCCTCTGGTGGAAAACTGTGGGGGAGGAGGGTGGGAGAGAGAGAGGCAGCTGCAGGGTGGAAAGACATTCCCAGCCATGATGCTGGAACCCCTCAGCTCGGGTGAAAGGCCTGGCCTGGATCTGTGGGAACCAGACGGCCCCTGGGCACAGCTCAACAGGGCTCGCTTCCTCCAGTGCCCCCGGGGAATGTGAGAAGGAGGGAGCTGAGGTCAGACGTTCCCTTCACAGACAGCTTTTCAGACGCCAACGTGATCTATGGCCCGAAATATTGTTTTTCACTGGGAAAAAAATAAATAAAAGGGAGAAAATAAAACCTGGACCCAAGTCCCATCCTGCTCCTTGGATGACGACTCGCGCCCCCTCTGCCCCTGGGCACAGCCAGGATCTGGGGGTGGTTGGGCTTGTTCACGGGGGGTGACGCAGCTGGAAATATATTTGGTCTCTGAGTGACGCCAGCCCCTTCCCTCCCCCACTAAGCCGAGTGCACAGTCTCTCTGGCTTCGGCTCTTCTTGGTGAGAAACTGAGGAACAGCTGGGGCCTGTCACCTGGCTGGGCCACCACCCAGCCGGGCCCTGCCTCGTGGCTTTCCGGAGGAGCCAGGGCGAAACGCAGACACGCCATGATCGGCTCCTCACTATTTCTGATTCGAGTCGGCCCAGCAGGGCCTTGGAGTTTGGCTTGTTGTCTCTGGTTCCGTTTCGTTTGCAGAATGGGCGAGGAGCGGCAGGGCAGGTGTGTGGACACAAATGGAGGGTGAAGCAGGTTTGTAGGGAGACCCACCCCCACCCCCAAACACACACACGCTTCCACAGTGTTTAACCCGTGGGACAAAGTTCTACCCCACGCAGCGTCCCAGCCTGGCAGCAACCCAGCGCCTCCTGCACAGACGTGGGACGTTCGGCACCCCGTGCGGGAAAACCCGGTGAGAGAGAAAGGTGACTGCTCACCCTATTCACGCAGCCTGTGGGGCTGTCTGCTGAACAGGTGTGCCAGGGGCTGTCTCCCCTTTTCTGCCCAGCTCCCTCCAGGCCTGGAGCTGCCACTGGGCTCGCTCAGCATTGGGTCTCCTCCCCGCCCTCACGCTCCTTCGCTTCGCTCTCCTCAGACCTCCCCCCTCGTCTGTCACCTCCGTTCCCCACGCTGTGTCTCTGCCCTACTCTTCTGATCTGCCTCTCTCTGCTCTTCCCTTGTCTCAGGTGCCATAAACCTCTGCCCTGCCCCATGTATGGCCAGGGGGCCCTTAGGGAGAGCACAGGCTCTGACATTTCTGGATTTAGGAAAACAGGGGAGCAAACGTTTCTCTCTTCAGTCTGAGGCTTGGAAAATAAGCTTCTCGGGCTTGTAGGGAAAAATCCCGAGACTGCATGTCTCTCTTAGGCCATTGCTGTGTTGTTGAGACAGGATTATAAAGCAGCCGGTCAAGGCTCTATTCACCCACGTTATGGGTGAGGCAACAACCCTGAATGGTTTAATTATCGTCGGAGACCAAGGGAAAGGGCAGTGAAAACTGTCTTTGCCTCGGCAGGTACATTTTGATAGTTTTTCAAAGCTGTTGATACACACTCCTTGGAAGTGCGCAGCCAGCTAGTTCGAGGGGCGGGCCTGTGCAGACGCACTAGCGAGGCTGACAGGTGGCTTAGCTTGCTTGCTTTCGGCCCTCAGGGGGTCACTGCCTGACATTTCGCATCCTGGCAGTATTAGGTGAGATTCTGGGGGTTCGCTCTGGATGGGCTGTGGGTGTGGCCTGGGACAGAGAGGCTCATTTCTCAGGCGCTGAGCAGAGTCTGTGGCCTTGTCTACACTGTGCAGCAAGGCAGGGACGGGTGTGACTGTACATCGCACCAACATGCCAGGCAGTAACGTCCTGTGTGGCCCCTGCGGGAAAACCACACGCTGGGACTTTCGCTGCATTGTAGCTCTGGCCACACCGGGCGGGGCTGTGCGGCAGGCTAGTTCGCCGCAGTCACGGCATTGTGTGCCACGTGGGGACAAGCCTTGTGCCTGGTTAGACGCCGATTCAAACACATACATGGTGACTACTGAGGAGGACACAGGACACTCGCCAGTGGTGCCAATGCTCATCATTTTATTGACAGTCTTGCAATAGTCCGCGTTTTTTCTTAAAGCCCCAGCGCCTGCGGTCAGTTATTACAAGAGACTCTCAGCTTTCGTTTTGGAAGTACATTTCTAGCCCTCAGGCTTGCGGAGAAAAGCTTTAAAATGTAGCCCCCCAAGGCTCAAACCTTAGAAGGCAAAGACCCCACAATGTGCCGTTGTATCAAATCTCCTGATTTGTAAGAGAACCTCTGTGTTGTTGGGCCTGGCTCCTGGGTTATGAATGCCTGGGGTTGGGGCAAATGCAAGACACCTGCTCCCAACAGCCTGGTCCTTGCCCGGGGCTTTGCCTCGCCCCAGACTGGAAAAGCAGGCTCCCCCTTGCAGGCGGTGCTGCGTTGGCCTGGCATTTCCTGGGGGCTGCGGCCCCAGGCTGGGGTGGCCCTGGCACGGTGTTTCTCGCAGCAGCACGCTGGGTTTCTGGAGCCTTCCTTTCCACGCCGCACTGAAGGAGGAAGGAATTGTCCTGCCATCTGCCTCGGCGGCGCAGAAGGAGACTCAGCCAGCGCTTGGCTTTGCCACGTGGCCCTGCCGGGGGAGGCCAGAACGACTAGCCCTGTTTTCATACCAGCCCAGGAGCGTTAGAGGATCATCCCCGGATACCCTGAAAGGCCCTCGGGCTGTTCTTTCGTGGCCGATGCCTGTGGGGTGGCTCTGGCAACCCGATCCCCTCTGTCCACTGGGTAATTCCAGCCCCCTTTCCTGGTTCATGGCCAGGAGCTCGGCAGTTTCAGCATTTCCCTGTTTGGCAGGTGAGGAGAGGGACCAGCGTCTCAGCCCGGGGCAACGGAGGTCCATTCCTGCCTGCTGCTCACGAGGGAGGCACCCTAGCTAACCTCACGCCCCGTATGCCATTCCCTAGGGCCCCGAGCCGAGGGGGTAACCTGGTCAACTACTCTCTCGTCCACCCCCATCCCACCCGGAAAGTCTGGAGAGTTCTCACGAATGCATCTCATCCCTCCTCCCTGCAGAGGATGCTGGGGCAGCACTGGCATTTGGGGGGGGCGGGAAATGGGGGCTCAGACTTGGCACGGACTCGTCCTCAGTGCAGACCTGTCCCCCCGGACTCCCGCCCTCCACGTGTGGCTGGGAGCTGCTCTGGGCCCATCTGACGTGGGGCATTGGGAGAGTGCTCGAAGAAAAGCCAGGCAGACTCTTGGAAGGGGCCGGTGCGAAGGGCCATGCTGCAGCCCAGGGGGTGTATTGGCGCTGCTGAGACATCAGCCCAGATACTGGTGACCGGGCAGCGAGCTCGGCTGGGACCTGCTCACACCCCCAACAGGGAACCATGTCTAAGAATAGCCAGCCGCTCCGGGGAGGCACAGTCTGGGGAGGCGTGGGGTGCTGCACACCCTCAGTGGGGGGAGAGGGAGGGGATTAGCCTGGCAAACACTACTCAAGGGACTGGGGACTCCCTTGCCCCCCAGAGTTTAGCTACAGCTGCGGCCAGAACAACTTCCTTTTTCTCTGACCCAGCTGGCAACTCGTGTGTTATGTTCTTATGCCTCGGCCTCCCCACAGAAACCCTCCAACGCTGTGTCCCAGACCAGCTCCTGCCCCGCTACTTGCAACCTTCAGCCTGGCACAGAGCTTGTCCTGCTGCCCAGGGCCAGGCGAGAAAAGCCCTGCCCCACACGTACATCCAGCGCCTCTCCTGTGGAGTCACACAGCGGGCAGTGAGTCAGACCTGTGTGTCCTCACCAGCAACGTCCTGCATGAGTAAAGCTGGAAGAATTCTGCAAACCCACGTTCACTTTCCCCTACTCCTGCTGCTGCTTTCCTCGCTGCTCTGAGCCTGCCAGGGGCTGCTCCGGGGCTGTCCCTCCCTGCATCCTGTCCAACGCCTCGCCTGGAAGCTCTTTGGGTTAGGGCTGGGCCCTTCCAAGAGTGATGCAAAGAGCCTAGCAAGGTAGGCTAGATCTCTGATGTGGTTTCTGCACACTCTCCCTGCCCGTGGGGGCTACAAACATGACACAACCCCCACCCCACGCCAAGGGAACCACTCTTAACCCTGCCTGCTGCGGGCCCGTGACCTGGCAGGGTTCCTTCCACTCACAGCTGGCTGTTGGTCTGGGGCTCAGGCTGTGGTACAGAAACGCCCCATTCCCAGCGTGCTGACACAGCTCCATCACACAGCGTCCCCGCTGGCATAGAGGGGCCCGATCCGTGCTCAGGCCTGCGGCGGGGACACGATTAACACTCACACTCCTCCCGCGGCGGAAGACAAGGCTCAGCTGGGTTCTACCTCAGGCACTCACCTGGCCCCCCCTCACCACACACTCTCCCCCGTGGGGCAGGGCACGGCTCTGACCTCCTGCATCTAGCAGGGGACCGGAGGAGCCCAAAGCACGGGCAATCTGCACAGAGCAGCCAGCTGCACCAGGGTCTCCCACGTCCCAGACTTGCCCCCAGCCTTCCCGAGCTGGCTCAGGGCACCGGCCTGCTGGACCTCCCTCCCTCCACCCCACCCCTGTCCTGACACATGGAGATCAGGACGCACGTTCACAAGGGGCAGTTTTGCAGACAGGTGAGCGAGCTCCACCCAAGGGATGGTTTTCAATGTGGCTCCTGCCAGCTGAAAGTGGAACCAGCTCATGGAGGTAGGGTTCCTCCCCCCACCCCCGGGTGCAGAGGAAGCCGCGTGCTGCCCCAGGAAGTGCTGTGCCATAAGGGCCATGCCAGGTGGGTGGCTGCAGCGAGCTCAGCCCCTCGCGGCTTAGTTCATTAGCTGATTCACACTCATTGTTAGGACGCCCTTTCTGCCCCCCGCCAGCGAGTGCATCACAAACCCAGCCCACCTGGGCCTCGCAGGGCCCCGGGACGCACGTGGCCGTGTCCCTGTTTTACAGCGGGGGGCTCAGCCACGCCGAGATGGGCAGGCACATTTCCATTGATTTTGCAGCCCGTCATCGCTGGGTGCCCAGCTGAAGCCACCTCGCAGGAGCCTGGTTTCCTGGCGCTGCCAAGCACCCGCCACCCTCTGAAAATCAGCCTCTTTACAGCGTCTCGACAGCACTAGTCACGGTGGAAAATCTGGGCCACTGGCCTTAGCGACGGGCCCAGACTCCTCAGTGGCGAGCTGGGATTTGCATTCAGCAGCTCATAGTCTCAGATTTCACCCAGGAGCCTGCACTGCCGGTTCGACTCCTCCCTCTAAGGAACAACCGCCCGAGGCCCGTGGGCCTGGGACGGGTCTGCCCTAGTGTGGACGCCACACTGCAGCGCGGAGAGCTAACGGCAGAAACCTTCTTACGCTACAAACCATGTGGGTCCTTTGAACACGCTGCTTTAGAGAGGAAAGTAAAGCCCCAGGGCTGGCTCCCCACTGCCGGCCTGAACCCCGGTGCAGAGTGGGTGTGCCATGCTCCTGCAGGGGCACGTGGAGAACACCCGGGGTGCCAAGACAAGTCAAGGTGCAGGGCATGGGAGAACCAGCTGACCCCAAGCAGCACCTTCCCCCCCCCACTTCAGTCCCACCTGCCCTTTGCATGATGCTCCCAGGCCCCGAGGCAGAGACACCGAGGCGAGACGCAGTTGGGGGATGCGTTTTATTCCACTGGCCAGGACACGGTTCCATCCAGCCCCTGTCTCCCACGCAGGGTTCTAGTTTGGTGGGATAACAGCCATGGCAAAAAGACACTGGCAGCGGGGGGTCCGGTACCCAAAGTGATTTCTCCTGGGAGCCCGGGTCCCTCTTAGCTCCCTCAGGCAGTCACCACTGGGCAGGAAGCAGCAGGAGAGAATAACTTACATGGCGAGTCCCGTCCTCAGAGTCAGCTCTCCGAAGGGCAGGTGGCATGGCCAGGGGTGTCCTGGGCACAGCGGTGGGCGGCAAGAGAGGCTGCGAGGGCACAGTCTGTCCTGGGCAGGGCCTGTCACTCAAAGAAGAACATGCCAGGTGTCCTGTAGAGACAGTGGGGGAGTCCCAGCTGGTAACCATTCCCTCCTGGCAGGGAGAACGGGCTCCCAGCCCACGACTCCTTCTGCTCCCCCTGCAGCTGGACGGCAGGTCGGAAGGGGGGCGGCTGGATGGGGGTCACGGGAGCGGCGCTTGGCGACGCCGTCAGGAGGTGCTCCAGGGCCGAGTTGCACGCCCGCTCGTTCATGCAGAAGCTCAGCGCCTGCACGCGGCACTGGTAGTTACCGCTCAAGCTGTCCGAGCCCGAGCAGCCGAAGGAGCTGAAGACGGGCAGTGTCGGCTTGACGTAGCCGTCGCCTTCGAAGGAGGGGAAGCAGGCGGGTGAGGGCTGCCGGCTGCAGGGCAGCGAGGGTTTGCTGGGCCCCAGCAGGGCTGGGAACACGGGAGCCACCTGGCTGAATGGTTGGGACAGCCCCATGGTGCACGCTGCAGACTCCTTACCCTCCAGTTCGCTGTCGGGAGACACGGTCGGGGCTGGTGTGGCTTGAGGCGGTTCCTTGATGTCCCTGGTCAGCTGGGGGTGCTGCTGGGTCACTCGCTCCCCCGGGGCAGTGTACGGGGGCTGAGCTATCTGGATGGGGGGCTGAAGCCCCCCAAATACAGTCTCCTTCAGCCGGGGGGGATCTTGCCCCTGGGTCTCCAACAGGCGCCCCTCGAGGCCTGGGTAGCAGGGCTGCTTCTCAAAGAGCTGGGGTTTGGGCTCCGGCCCCTCCAGAGGGTACAGACACGCCTGCCTGGGTTTCTGCAGGTACTTCCTAGGGGTCAGCAGGCTGGCCTGGCCTGGCTGCTCTGGGCAATGGATGCTGGGTTCCTTGCTGCCCTGGCCACACTCCTTGGTACCCACTGGGACCTCCAAGGTCAGCGCCTGTCCAGCTCCTGTCCGCCCCGGGCAGGAGCCGAGCAGCTGGCTGGCGGGAGCAGGCGAGGAGTAGCTGCTCTCTGTCTTGATCTCCTCAGCCAAGAGGGCCAAGGGCTGGGGGTGCTGCCGGGCCCGACACTTGGGCTGTTTCTTCCGCGCCCCCTCCGCCTCGCCCTCCGGCACATCCCGCAGGCCGCGCTTCCTGGTGAAGCGGCGCCGGCGGCGCAGGAAACTGCCGTTCTCGAACATGTTGTAGCAGTCGGGGTCCAGGGTCCAGTAGTTGCCCTTGCCGGGTTTCTTGTCGTCCCGCGGCACCTTGACGAAGCACTCGTTGAGCGAGAGGTTGTGGCGGATGCTGTTCTGCCAGCCCTGCTTGTTGTCCCGGTAGAAGGTGAAGCGGCTCATGATGTACCGGTAGATGCCGCTCAGGGTGATTCTCTTCTCCGGGGTGCTCTGGATGGCCATGGTGATGAGGGCGATGTAGCTGTAGGGGGGTTTGGTCACCTCGCCCATCTGGGAAGGGGCCCCGCTGCCAGCACTCGGTCCGCTGCTCTGGGGTGGCGCTGAGCTGGGGCATGGAGCTAGCACCATCCCCAGGTTGCCGCAGCCTCCTTGGTCGCAGACGGGAGGCAGGATGCGCAGAGAGGAGGCAGGCATGGGATACTCCAATTGCATCCTTTCCGGGCAGGGATCCCTCCCGTCCCGTCCGGAGCAGCTGGTCGCTGCGAACTCCCAGCTCCAACTCCTGTGGAAACCTTGTTCCAACTCGGTTAAAACTCTGCTGCAGCCCAGCCTCCCGCCTCTGAAAAAGGCGAAAGGGGGCGGAAAGTCCCTCCTCTTGCCCAGAGCGTTGTGGGGGCCGCCTAGGGCGGAGCGAGGGGCAGCGGGAGCTGATAATCCATCTCCTGTTCATTCTCAGAGGTTCCTGAGCCAGGCGGCTGGGGAGGAAACACAACCAGGCTGCTGGTCGATCCAGGGCACGCAGCATTGCTGTTCCCAGACAGAGTGGGTGGGAAGCAAGGGGGGTGGAAGGGACAGGGAGAGAGGGAGGTGGGAGCTCAGTGCCAGGCTCTGTCCTCGGGGGAGCCCTGGGGCGAGGCAGCCTGGGTTTTGTGCCCACGTTCTCTCAGGGCATCCCGGGCTCTGATCCTCACTCACGCTCCCTCTTTCGAGGGCTTTTAGGGCTCTTTCCCTCCCCTCACCCCATCTTTTCTGGGGGTCTCAGATCTCCTGGAGATGTGCCCACCATCGCTCTCCCCAGCTCTGTGCACCGGCTTTGTTATCAAATGTTTAATGTTCAGTACCCCCTGCCTGCCCCGCCCCGGCAAGGGAGACTGGGGGAGGGAAGAGAATGGTGTGGGGAGACTTTGGGCTTTTTAGGGGATCCCCAAGGGGAGGAGGAAGGGGGTGCAGAGCTGGCAGTCACCTGGCTGGTTTTTGACCAGCCTGGTCGGTTTTTCTGTGCCCATGTGCCAGTCGGGGGACATGGCATGCCAGGGGTAACTTGGCAGCTGGCCACATGCATTGCAGCGGGGGGCACACCCGGGTCCAGTGGCCAGGGGTGGGGCTTCCAGTGGGGGTGAGGTGAGGGGGCTTGTGGGCAGTGGGGTCAGGCTTCTGGGGGTGGGGGGGAAGGTCAGGTTGGGTGTGAGGGGGCATGGCCAGTGGCCTAGTTTTCTGTGCCTGGGAGGTGGCACCCGAGAGGCAAGGCAGGGCAGGGCAGGGCAGGGCAGGGCAGGGCGAGGCTGCAGGGGACGGGGAGGCAGCGTGTCACCATGCACAGGGCTCCTGGGGTCGCTGGCACCCTGGAGAAGGAGCTAGTTTGTTCTGGCAGAATAAACTTCTCCAGGCTCCTGGCTCCCTCTAGCGGAGACTTGGGCTGTTAATAACAGCAACACTGAGCGCTCCCCTT